GGGGGGGGGTTGAGGAGGGAGTTACCCGACAGCCAGAGTGCCTTTTCCATTCCAGGCGTCTTCCTGTTCAGGCACAAATCCAAAAGGTGAGGATCTGCGATTAACAGGAATGGAGCAAGCAGGCACAGGCAGCCAGTACCCTATACCCTCCCGTCCCTCGACCACATTCCAGTATTTAAGACATTTTTATTCCAGTTCCCCTCACCTCTGGGAGAAAATGCTTCAGGCATCCACACAACAGTGCAGTGAAGCAGAGGGGGGTGCAGGGTTCTCTTAAGCCCTCGCCCGCCTTTCTGGGCAGCCTGGCCTGGGGTCAGGATATGGGAACTCTACTGCTGGCTGGTGAATGCAGTTGTGAGTCTCCAAGCATTCCCAGCTCCACAAGCTTCCATTTTAATGGCCCTGTAAAACTGGGATGCTGTTTTCTGTCTGGTGAAATGTGACCAGGAGGGTCCTTTGGGTGAAGGGAGAAGTCCATCCTACTTGGCTGGTGAGCAGTGTTCCCCCCTAAGCTGAGTTAGTGTGAGCTCGCTCACATTTTTTTAGCCTCCAGCTCACACGTTTTTGTCTTGGCTCAGGAAGGGATGGCTCCAGAGCAAATAATTCATGTGGTAGCCAAGTTGCTCACTCACAGCTTTAATGCCAGGAGCTCACAAAGTAGAGTTTTTGCTCACAAGACTCCACAGCTCAGAGGGAGCATTGCTGGTGAGCTGGTAGGGGTTAAAGCTGCAAAAGTTTCCTCCCGAAACCAGTTGCAATGAACGTCAATAGAGAAAGCAAACACTTCCCTAACCAGTGTTTTAATAGCTGTTTTGTTTTTAACTCTGTCTTTTGATTGTCTTAACGACATGTGTTTGGGGAGGCTGATCTTAATGGTTTTGAAATGTGATTTGATCATGTCTGTTTTCGGTTGCCTGCTGCTTTGTCAGAGCAGAAAGGTTGGATGCAGATTTTGTAAATGAAACAAAGCCGTATATAAACATACAATGAAGTTTGAATCCAGTGGCATCCTTGAGACCAGCAAAGTTTAAATTCTGGGTATAAGTTTAATTCTGGGTATAAGCTTCTGTGTGCATGCAGTGTGGAATTCCAAAAAATAAAGAAGATCGGATTGCAAATCTTCTTAGTGAGCTTGTTAAGTTAAATGTGGGGTTTAAGAATATTAGAACATAAGAGAAGCCAATGTCGGATCAGAAGCCAATCGCCCATCCAGTCCAACGCTCGGTGTCACACAGTGGGCAAAAACACCAGGGGCCATCAGGAGGTCCACCAGTGGGGCCAGAACTCCAGCAGCCCTCCCACTGTGGGCCCCTCCCAAGCGCCAAGAAGACAGAGCATCACTTGCCCCAGACCGAGAGCTTCCATCTATACCTTGTGAATAGCCACTGATGGACCTCTGCTCCATATGCTTATCCAGTTCCCTCTTATAAGAACATAGGAGAAGCCAGTGTTGGATCAGGCCAATGGCCCATCCAGTCCAACACTCTGTTACACAGTGGCAAAAAATACCAGGTGCCATCAGGAGGTCCAGCAGTGGGGCCAGGACACCAGAAGCCCCTCCCACTGTCCCCCCCCCAAGCACCAAGAATACAGAGCATCCTTTGCCCCAGATTTGTGGCTAATAGCCACTGATGGATCTCTGCTCCATATGCTTATCCAGTTCCCTCTTATAAGAATACAGGAGAAGCCAGTGTTGGATCAGGCCAATGGCCCATCTAGTCCAACACTCTGTGTCACACAGTGGCCAAAAATACCAGGTGCAATCAGGAGGCCCACCAGTGGAGCCAGGACACTAGGAGCCCTCCCACCAGTGTTCCCACTAAGCTCAGCTCAGGAAGGATGGCTCCAGAGCAAACTAATTAATACAAGAGCCAAATGGCTTGCTCACAACTTTAATGCCAGTAGCTCACAAAGTAGAATTTTTGCTCATGAGACTCCACAGCTTAGAGGGAACATTGCCTCCCACTATTGACCCCCCCCAAGCACCAAGAATACAGAGCATCCCTTGCCCCAGACTGAGAGTTCCCATCTATACCTTGTGGCTAATAGCCACTGATGGACCTCTGCTCCATATGCTTATCCAGTTCCCTCTTATAAGAACATAGGAGAAGCCAGTGTTGGATTAGGCCAATGGCCCATCCAGTCCAACACTCTGTCACACAGTGGCCAAAAATACCAGGTGCCATCAGGAGGCCCACCAGTGGGGCCAGGACACTAGAAGCCCCCTCCCACTGTTTGCCCCCCCCAAGCACCAAGCCTGGCATGATTTGGCCCATGGGGTCACGAAGAGTCGGACTCGACTGTGCGACTGAACAACAACTAGCACCAAGAATTCAGTGCATCCCTTGCCCCAGACTGCATTGCATTATGAGGAATCCCTTTTTTTGGTTTGTCATAAATGGCCATCAGTGGAGTTCTCCCTGAACATCCGTGGGGCATTGGTTGCCCTCCCAGCAGCCCAATGAAAGTTAACGGGTGCTGTCTGTCTGACTGCTGCTCCTGTTGAATGCTTTTGGTTTTGATCTTGCTTGTATAGATTTATGTGCTGCTTTCAGAAAGGAAGGTTGTGAAATCTGAAAGAGTTTTTATCCCCAGCCGTTCCTCGGGCACTCTGGAAGCAGTGTTCCCTCTAAGCTGAGTTAGTGTGAGCTAGCTCACAGTTTTTTAGTCTCCGGCTCACACATTTTTCTCTTAGCTCAGGAAGGGATGGCTCCAGAGCAAACTAATTTATGCAGTAGCAGAGGTCGTTTCGTAGAAAAAGAGCTGGGGAGCTCATTAGCATAACTCATTAGCATATGCCACACCCCCTGACATCACCGGAAATGTGTCATAAGGCCACACCCCCTGACATCACCGGAAATGTGTCATAAGGCCACACACCCCGCCCCCAACGGTCCCGGCCGCCACCGCTGGCCTTGCAGCTCCACTGCTGAGCCCCATGAGGGGCCCGGTGGTGGACCTGCAAGGCCGGCGGGAGTGCAAGAAAGCCCCGTGAAGGCACCTCCCTCTTCTCCTGCCTCCCCCTGGCTGAATAAGGGCCAGAAGTGGGGCGGCCGGAAGCAGGGGGCGGGGCTTCGTCATGTGCCCCGCCCCCCGTACCTCACCCGGGGGAACTGCGATCCCCCCCGAAATGACCTCTGTGCAGTAGCCAGATCACTCGCTCACAACTTTAATGCCAGTAGCTCACACAGTAGAATTTCTGCTCACTAGACTTCACAGCTTCGAGGGAACATTGTCTGGAAGTAGAGAAAGTTCACCCCAAAGTGTGCCAGTTGATTTGCATCATACGTATAAACTCCAGGGAGGTTCAGAGTCAGAGAATCTGCCAGTATCTTAAAGACTAGCAAATGGATGGAGGAGAGGGGATTGGGGGGGGGCTTCTGGCTCCCCAAAAAAACCTCTGCCAGGATAAGTGTGTGGGTCTTTAAGATGTCACAAGACTCTATGAAAATGTATACGATAGGACAGGTACAAGGGAAGGGCCCCTGCGGTGCCAGAGCTCCTGCAGTGAAGGGGGGGGTGGGGGTTGCGTTCTTTGGAAAAATCAGTGCCCTTTATACATGTTTGAATGCTGTGCTGTTCTGAACTCTCTCTCCCCCCCCTCCTCCTAGCCTGTTTGATGGGGGAGATGGAGCAATCTGCAGATTCAGATGTGGACCCACTGCTGGTCACTGATTCGTTTCGTGCGCATTGGAGCCAGATTAATGAAGATAGCTTGTTGGTGAGTGTGGGCATAAACTGTGTGGCTGGAGTCAGGGTGGGGGGTGGGGGAACCGTCACGGAGAATCCTTCGGGCAGCAACAACAACCAACCCCCCCAACCCCTTCTTGATATTACATGCTAGAACGGTTGCTTGTGTATTCCATTCAAACCCTGCGTATCTCTAACTCCCGTTTAAAGATCAAGCCAAGTTTCCAGCCCCTGAAATGGGCTTGGAAATGTATGGGCATTGGATTGGCTTCGGTGCACAATATCCACTCGCCCCGGCGAGGAATGCGAGATGGCGGCAGCCACTTACGCTAAGTCAAGCTTATTGTATCCTCGCTCGCTTTCCTCATTTGCGCATGATTCTGTGCAACCAATTTCTGCACGCGATACGAAGAAGAAGAGATTGGATTTATATCCCACCCTTCACTACCCAAAGGGGTCTCAGAGCAGTTTACAAACTCCTTTCCCTCCCCCTCTCCACCACAGACACCCTGTGAGGCCAGTGGGGCTGAGAGAGCTCTTGACAGAAACTGCTCTTTTTCAAGAACAGCTGTGCCAGAACTATGGCCTGCCCAAGGTCATCCAGCAGGTGCAAGTGGAGGAGTGGGGAATCAAACCCGGTCCTCCCAGATTAGAGTCCGCGCACTTAACTGGCTGACTGACCTTGGGCTTGTCACACGCACTCAGTCTAACCTGCCTCACAGGGTTGTTGTGAGGATAAAATGGAGAGGAAAATTACGTACACCACCTTGGGTTTCCATTGGGGAGAAAATGGTGTACAAATGGAAGTAAAGGATTCAATATAGAGAGGGAAGTGCGAGGTGTCGCGCAAGTTCTGGAGCTTGTGGCAGTGTGTTTCCAGCTTGCGCATCGCATTACTGGATCCAAAGCCGGTGCCCGGGGCTAGGCAGCGCATCCACTTTTGGAAGGAGAAATGTTTTAATTTCTTTCTCCCCCCCCCCCTTTCATTTAGAGTTCAAACTTGCTGCTGGATTTCAACTTAGACTTCCAGCTCCCTGAGGAAAATCCCGAGCTGCCCTTTGCCCAGGAAGGGGGCAGCAGAGGGCCCGGGGAAATCAGAGAGGATGGCCCCGCCCTGGATATGACGGCTTGCACCGCCCCCTCCACCGAAGACTACACCGGGAACCAGTGTTACCAGCTGGCATTTGATCAACTTTCCGAGACGCCCTTCGTACAGGAAGGGGGCAGCAGCGGGCCGGGGGAAGGCAGAGAGTGGGGCCCCGCCCCGTATACAACGGTTTGCACCACCTCCTCCACCGTCCCCTCCACCGAAGACTACGCCGGGGGACACTGTTTCGAGCTGGTGTTTGAGCAGTCGGGAACGGCCAAATCCGTCACCTGCACAGTACGGAGTGGGGAAGCGGAGGGGGAGACTGGGGGAGCGGAGATTGGGGTGTTGGTTTAACATCGTGGGATACCCCAGAGAGCTGTTGTCTTAACTTTTGCCCTAGGGAGGGGAAAGTTGACATTCGCGCAGCGTGTTTATCCTCTGGGCTGGAGCGGAGTTGGGCAAGGATACCTTGTGCTGAGGCTGTATCACTTTTTGGGGGGGGCGGAATGACTGACTGCTCTGCAGTGTTTAGATTGAAATCACAGAATCGTAGGATGTTAGAGTTGGAAGGGGCCTTGCAGGTCATCTAGTCCAACCCCCTGCCCTCTGCAGGAGCAGAGCCGAAAGACAGCCCGACGACATACCCGAAAGAGGGCCGTCCAGCCTCCGCTTGGAAACGTCCAGCGAAGGAGCCTCCACCACCTCCCGAGGCAGTCTGTTCCACTGCTCAACAACTCTTACAGTTAGGAAGTCGCTCCTGATATTTAGCTTGTAACGACTCCCTCGTCATTTCCACCCATTAGATCAAGTCTTGCAATCCGGAGCAAGAGAGAATAGATCTGCTCCATATTCTACCTGACAGTCCTTCAAATATTTGAAGACTGCAATCATGTCTCCTGTAAGCCTTCTCTTTCCCAGGCAGGCTAAACAGACCCAACTCTTTCAGCCTTTCCTCATAAGACTTGGACTCCAACCCTCTCGCCATCCTGGTCGCCCTCTTTGGGACACGCTCCAGCTAGTCCAGTGGTCCCCTGACTTTTTGGGGCCTGGGGGCACCTTTGGAATTCTGACACGGCATGGTGGGCGGAGCCACAAAACGGCTGCCGCAGGAGGCGGAGCTAGCCACAGGATGGCTGCCGCTGCTGACCCTCCAGTCACACAGTGAAGATTCTTGTGGTGTGCTGGCAGCTGGCTGCCGCCAAAGCAATCTTTTAAAACATCTGCACGCAGCCGGCCAGAAGCCCTGCTGGCCAGTAGTCCCACCCGGCCTCCTTGACTTTCTAAAAACATTTGGCGGGCAACGGGAAAGGCGTTGTGGGGACCTCGTGATACGTCCCATCGCGGACAACAGTACCAACATAGTCTTTCCCAGAGCTGTTAGTCTCCTACACGAATGAGGGGGTGCAGCAGTATGGAGAACAGGCCCATAGTCAGGATTTTTTAATTTTTGGGGGGAGGCTTTTAAATAAGTCAGGGGGCTGGGCCCCGAGGTGCCCCACTACAGCTCCGGGCCTGAATTGCAGAAATGTTTGGCCGTGTGAGCCCCCCCCCCCCGAAGGGGGAAGGGGCCCAGCCCGGAGACACTCGTTCACCTCTTAAACTGCCGCTTGCCGGGGTGAGGCCAAAGCCCATGGGGGTATTCACCACCTCCTCCCTGATCCCTAGTCACGATTTGTGCAAATCAGAATCCCCCCCCCCAGGTTTAGAGTGCAGGAAGTGGGAGGGACTGAAATGTTACGCTCCTGTATTGACAACCGAACTGGTTAACCTGCCCGGTTCCGTGTTCTGAACTTTGTGGTTCTTACGGCAGTTTCCCGGCTTCCGGTCTTGTTTGCTTTCAGAAATCAGTAGTGGCTTAATAGTGGTGCTGGGGGATGCTGGAGAATTGGGTGCTGGGAGGGTGGCCGATGCTGTTCTTTTTGTTTCCTTTTTACCTAGATTCATAGCTTGCCCTCTCCGGAGCTCCTTTGTATTGCTGTAACTCTTTGGCTTGAGTATTATTTGGGGGGGGGGGAATCAGGTGCTGGACAGGTTTGATTGTGGGGGTGTTTTAAGGACGCACGCAGCAGCTGGTGTTGCTGGCTGTGCATTGCAGAGCGGACAGGAAATTCGGTTTTCTTCCTTTTATTTCCCTGTAAGCTGAGTTAGTGTGAGCCAGGTCACAGTTTTTGAGCCTCTGGCTCACACATTTTTGTCTTAGCTCAGGAAGGACTGCTCCAGAGCAAACTAATTTAGGCAGCAGCCAAATCACCTGCTCACAGTTTTAATGCCACAATTTTTGCTCACAAGAATCCACAGCTTGGAGGGAGCATTGCAGCAAGTGTTCCCTCTCAGCTGAGTTAGTGTGAGCCAGCTCACAGTCTTTGAGCCTCCGACTCACACATTTTTGTCTTCGCTCAGGAAGGAGGGCTCCGGAGCGAACTGATTTATGCAGTAGCCAAATCGCTGGCTCACAACTTTAATGCCAGTAGCTCACAAAGTAGAATTTTTGCTCACAAGACTCCACAGCTTAGACGGAGCATTGATCACAACAGCCCTGTCAGGTTGGACCACCTTATTAGACATTGCGGGCAGGGTGCACAAGAGAAAAAGTAATGGATTGCACAACTGAGCCACAGGCCACTCTTAATACCCCCCCCTCGAAAGCTAGAGTCTGAAAGCAAGGGTGGTCTACGTTACAAGAGCCTGCCCGCTGCATTCCTGAACGAGTCATTGTCCTGAAGAGTTCCTTGACTGGACGGAAGCTAGCTCAAAGCACAGTGATGCTAGCAGGCGTGCAATAGGCAGCAGCTCCCCCCCCCCCAGCATGGGTGCATCATTCGGAGTGAAATATGTATTGGGCGTAGTAAATAAGAAGCTGGAGACCGACTGGTGATGAAGGTGCATAGAAAGTTTATATAGATGGTGAATATATACACAGAGATATACAGGCTATCATACAACATACCATGCCTTAGCTTGAGAGACTAAGTCCCCACCCAGTTTATCAAGCTGATAGCTAATATACTAAATCCAGCCAATCACTAACAAGGTGAATTAATTACCTACTCTAACAATGCCTGATAGAGAACACCTGCTAGTATAACACCTGGCTGTAATCACTTAATCCACTAGCATGACAGCTAGGACTGTCAAACAGATCAAACTGATCTAGTAACTGCTTGCTACCTTTATCACCTAGACATATATCTCAAATTTATGCAGTTGCAACAGTGATGCAGCAGTCTGGATCAATGGTTAAATCCCTTGCAAGGCTGGCGGGGCAGGAACTCACACAGAGAAGCAACGGAGTTGCAGACTCCTAATGATCTTTACGTTGCTAGTTAAGTTGCTTCCAACCCCAAATGTTCTCAGAGCCCCCGGTCGGACATTTATGGACCAAACGGGGTTTGAACGACGGGGTTCCTGGCTCAGAGTTTGGCTTCTTAAGCGTCATGCCCCGGGAGCTGTAGGCATGGTCCCAATAGGCCCCGCAGGGCCCTCTTTCAGCATTTGGAGAGCCCCACAGAGATGCTGCGGGAGCCATTCCCAGCTGACCCCCCAGCACTCGGGGTGCTTCCAAATCCTGCAACCCCAACTTGAAAAGCCTGCCTTGATTTTTGTTTCTCTGGCACCAGATTGTGCCTGCAGTCCATTATTCTTGCACCGTTTTATCTTTCATTGGGCTGAAGCACTTGTCTTCAGAGCTACACAGTATTTGACATTTTTGCACGAGTTCCATGTAGGGAACAAACCCGGGAACAAAATGAGCAGAACAGAAAGGCTCACGGCAGCATGTGAACCATAAAAGCTGTTCCGTACTTTTCCTCTTTGCATGTTATATCACGGCTGCCAGTCACAAAGCGGCAACAGATACGCAGCCTAAATTGGGG